GCGCTAAGATTGTTTTCTGCATAGTTAAATTTAAGTATTTGCCCACTGTGTTGAATTTCGAGGTATCTCCTATTAGGGTTCTATTATATGATACTTTTTAATTCATAAGATGCAAACATTGGTTTCATTTATCCATTAATTTTTATAATAGTTATACTTGATATGCAGCTGTTTCAGATTTAAAAAAAATATATATTTTGTTTATTTTTTACAGAGAGGAAGGGAGAGGGAAAGAGAGCTAGAAACATTGATGAGAGAGCAACATTGACCAGCTGCCTCCCACTGGGGATGTTCCCACAACCAAGGTACATGCCCTTGACCGGAATTGAATCTGGGACCTTTCAGTCCGCAGGCTGATGCTCTATCCACTGAGCCACACCGGTTAGGAGTTCAGCATCCTGTAAGGAGCCGCACAGCGCACCCTCAAAGGCTGCTCCTCAGCTCTGCTCCGGAGGCGCGCTCTGCCCTCAGGGAGCCATGGTCTGCCTTTCGATGCTGCTTTCCCTGGGAGACTGGCTGGCAGGTTGTGCTTGCAAGAAGGAAGGATGTAGTCTGAGCAACGTCAGCCTCTCACGTGGCAGCTGCAGGGCCTTCCCCACGCGGCCGCCCAGGGCCATCTCTGCGTCTCGCCAGGGCGGCCACGAGTGGGGCTCACTCCGCAGGGCAGTGGTGCCGCCAGCGGGACCTGGCCCCCTCGCCTCCCAGGAAAGCCTCGCCGGTGTCGCTGTTAACAGCCTTGTCTTTCCTTTTCGAAAACAGCCAAACACCGGATTGCTCACAAGCCTCACTCCAAACCCAAAGCGGCAGGTGCTTCTGAAGCAGGCTTTGCAAGCGTCGAACCCAAGGATCTGCTTGCGGACCAGGAGCTGTGGGCTCGGCTGGAGGAGCTGGAGCGCCAGGAGGAGCAGCTGGGCGAGCTGGAGAGGTACCGGGGCCTGGCTCCCGAGCTCCGCCCTCAGGCCTCACGGCCCTGTGCTCCTCAGGGACGAGGAGCCTCCGCACGGGTCCCAGGGCGCTAATCCCCCAGAGTGTTTTCCTGTAGGGCCGTGTTCATGCATGTGCCCGTGCACACGTGTACGCATGTGCCGTGTTCATGCATGTGCCCGTGCACATGTGTATAGATGTGCTTGCCATCCGTGGCCTGTTTTTGTAGTGAGTGTGGATGTTTCATGTATTGCTTTGTGACGGGCAGGGTTAGACATGAGAACGCCCGGCGGGAGAAGGCGCCCGCTGCAGGTGCTGCTGGGAGGCTCCCCACAGGCCGGCTGCTTTGGGCGGTGACGTGCCAGAGTGCAGGGGCTACTGTCCGTGGAAGGTGGGCACGCGCAGAAAGACAGGTTTCCTCCGACCTCCTCTGTGCGCGTGGCCCTGGATGAACTGATACGACTTCCTTTTTAAAAATGCACTCTGAGTCTTGTGATGGTCTCAGTCATGATTTCTCTCTCTTGTGCATCATGGCACTCCAGTCCCATTGCCCCTCTGGTTTTGTTATTTTTATAAGGCCTCAGGTCCTTTGTAGAAGGAAGCATGAAAAATGTGCGTGCACGTATGTATGTAAATAAAATTGTGTGCACATACATGGATTATTTTTAAAATTATAATACATGCTAGTGAGTGTAGAAACAGAAGATAAGAATGTTAAAGTTCTGTGGCTTTAATTTCTGATCTTTAAACAGAGATACAGAATCCTTTGAATTTCTTATAAATTTTGGGTAGTATTATTTACATTGTGCTTATATTTTGTATGGCCAGTGTCCTCTTTGCAAAGATTAGAAAAATCATACACTCTGTTGTACTCATGTTTGAATAACTTCAGTACACAGAGTCAGCAGAGAAACGAATGTGTTTCTGTTCATTTCAGAAAATTTTTGTTAATGGAGAATTCTAGTTAAAAAGTATCCTATTGGAAATGTTAAGTTTCAGCCATTGACGTGAGCGGGAAATGAGGAAAGGTAAGGTTCCAGTGTGTTTGCTCCATTTGCTCTTTCCCCCGTTTCCTCTGCTAGTCAGCCTCCTCCTGTGATGGCGAACGGAGGAGATGCAGCGTCTTCCGAAGAGGAGGAGGAGGATGCGGGCAGGTGTGTGAACGGACGCGTGAACGGGACGCATCCAGCGGCCGAGCCAGCGGCTCCCAGCTGTCGCCCCTCGGACGACCCCGGTGTGGAGGGGTTCCGCGGTCCCAGCTGCACCGTGAACGGCGCTCGTTCCCCGCTCAGCGACGAGGACGAGGACGAGGATGGTGACGATGATGACGCTCTCGGGCCCGGGGCCAGCTGTGTGCCAACCATCTACTTCTCCCACACGGTGGAACCCAAGCGGGTGGGTATCCCCCACCTGGACTCGTGTCGGGTGTTCCACCCAGCGGTCTGTGAGCGGTGACTGGTGCTGACGGGCCAGCAGGAAACCGTCTCCTGTCCCCGGCTCTGATCAGCTTATTGAGAAAGAAAAAGGGGAAAGTCCACATTCTCAGCTCGCAGCGGGCCATGCCTGTTTCTCAGGCCCCTCTCCGTGCAGGAAGCATCGGGTCTCTGCAGCGGGCTGGACAGTGTGGGTCGGGGAGGGGGCGCGGCTCCCTCGGGAATCCCGGAGTGAGTTGTAGGTGGCGTGGTGGCATGGGGGTGTGTGAAAGTGGCTGCATTAGTTTTAATAATCCAGGCTGCTGTTTCTACGTGGGCATGGAATGAATAGGAACATCATGCACAAGAAGGAGAATGTAGGAGGAGGTAAACATTAGCCTCCTTTCTGACAGTAAATACAAACATCTGTGCGCACTCATGACTTCAGAGTCCTGGCAGTGAGAGCTGGGGTTCGAGCTTCTCTCAGCATTCAAAGACGCCGTCCCTCTGCCCTGCCCCTGGGAGGTCAGGCTCCTGGGGGCGGGCTCTGGTGAGGACGGACAGGCCCCCATGCCCCCCCCCCCCCCCCGAGCTGTCCCCTGTGCCAGGAGCCCCCCGGCTCCTCTCTCTAATCGTCCCTCAAGGACACGGGCTCGGAGACCACGTCTGGTCTCAGTTCGCACTCCTCCTGACGCGCGTCCCCGCAGGGCCTGCGGTTCTGTCCCAAGTGCCTGTGATGATTATTTAATGAAACATGTTTAAAACATATTTGATATTTCTCAGGTCCCTGAAGTTATCCCTGCTGTAATGTGAAGTGAAATAATTATCTGCTGTTTAATGCTCTAATACTTCAGACTAAAGGGAGCACTTACTGAATTCCGTGGGAAAAGGACTGATTAGTCAGGGAAAAAAGTTCGCTTTGTGGTTTTTTGGCTTTCCATCTCTCGTACTGTCAGCGGAGGACAGGCAGAGGGAGTGACGTTTGCAGGGTGTTGGGGGCGTCGTCCAGGGGAGTGTGGGGCGCCCAGCAGGCACTGAAGGACAGACAGCCCTCAGTGGGTCGTCCTGGTTTTCAGTGTATTTATCAGAAGTACCTCGGAGAGTGGATCGGCCGGCTCAGACCGTGTTGCTCAAGGGTCTGCCCTTTGCTTTTGGTGTGGAGCCGAGGCACGGGGCTGGGGTGGTCGTGGTGAGGTGGAGCTGGGTGCTGGGAGGCCCGTGCGGGCAGTGGTGGGGAGGGGGGGAGGGGGGTCATGCTGCACCTCACTTCCATGCAGGAAGCATAGGCGGCCGCTGCTGTTCCTGCCTCAGTGCGGAGCGCGCTGGCTTTCGTTTTGGCTGTGACTGAGTTCTCAGGAGGGTGTCATGTTGTGCTGGGCACGTTTCAGGTGCGAATAAACACTGGGAAGAACACCACCTTGAAGTTCAGTGAGAAGAGGGAGGAGGCCAGACGGAAGCGGAGGAACGGCGGTGGCTGCCACCCCGCCCCGGAGCCGCCCGCCATCCGGAGCCCGGCCGACGTCTACAGGTGGGTGGGCCGGGCAGCCCTGCGGCCACCGCGCGCTCTTCCCCTCCCCCGCCCGCTTGGTCATCGCCATAGGACATTCCCGATTGGTCAGTCAGACCGCGTCCTATGTGACCTTCAGAACGGAGGCGGTCTGGGGGCTGGTGAGGGTGCTGGGTGGCTGCAGCCTTGGCCGGGCCTGGCTGCTGGCACTGCCTGGCGGTCTGCACGACCCACGTTTGTGGAAATGGCAAACACTGCTGGCCCCTCCTCAGGAGGTCAGCTACGGGTGGAATTTTGGTAAATCCAGCTGTTGTCACCCAGCACGTGTGTAAATAAAGCTGTTTTAGGAGCCCCGCGTTACAGTTCTCAGAAGCACACGAACTATGTCATTGGAGGACACAGTCATTTGGGCTGTGAAATGTTAGACACGTTTGAGTCACCGCGTCAGGCTGGCTTCCGTGGCAGCGTGCCTCAGCAGTGTGCTCGGTGCAGGGTCTTCGTGGACCTGGTGGACGGGGCGTACGTCCCTCGCAAGTCCATCCTGAAGTCGCGCAGCCGGGAGAACAGCGTGTGCAGCGACACCAGCGAGGGCAGCGCCGCCGACGGCGAGGAGCGCCGCGGGCTGCTGCGGAGCCTGAGCGGCGAGGAGGCCGCGGGCAGCGACGCCGGCGAGAGCATCCCGGAGGAGGAGCCGGAGCCGGAGCCGGAGCCGGAGCCGGAGCCGCAGCCGCTGCCGCAGCCGCAGCCGCAGCCGCAGCCGCCCGCGTCCGGAGCGCTCCAGGTGTGTGTGTGTCTCACGCGTGTCACCGTGTCCTTGGCCGGTTCTGGGGGGTGGTGCCGCGGCCTCTGTGGTCCTCGCTCCTGTCCCATCCCTCGTGGCTCCTGTGGGCGTGGGTGTTTCTGTAAGAGGCTCCTCCTGTGTGAGAATGCCCGGCGCTGTCTCCCAGGTCTGGTCTGAACGTCGTGCGTCTCTGCCTTTAAATTCTTGTGTTTATATGTTCGCTAACGGAAGGGCAGCACATTGCTTACCTGGTGGCTCTACTTCATACGTTCACTTCCTCTCAGAAGTCCTAGGACCCAGTCAGTTCCCGCTGGTCCTTGTTTGGTGAACTGTGTTTTACACATTGTATTTACCGGCTTGTTCCCTGGCTTACACGGTCAGCACAGTGTGCGCGGCAGTGTGTCCGTCTCAGTGCCCATGGCTCGTAGGAGACGCCGGGGCAGGTCCCCGTGCCGGAATCGTTTAGAAAGTCGTCACCCCCGTCTCTGCCCATCTCTGTGGACGGAGCTGGGGTGACGAGGCCGGTGCGTCCCCCGTGTGCTCAGCCCTGTGGCTCCAGGGAGCACGCACCAGGCGGCCCGCAGGCGCCGTGGCCTTCGTGTCCCACCAGGGAGAGTGTTGTCACTAAAAGCCCACATTTTTATTGATTTTAGAGAGGAGGGGGGGAGAGAAACATCAATGACGAGAGACCTCCTGGGTCCTGGAGACTTCCAGGCTCACTGGCCAGGCCACGGTGTGACTAAATTCCACTCTTACGTGGCGTTGAGGCGAGACCCTGTGCGGTGCCCACAGGTATGAGCGGCCGCCTGTAGCCGCCACTGCTGAGACCGAGGCTGCCGGCCAGGCCCGGCCAGGCGCCTCAGTGAGGCCTCCCACGTGGTGCCGTGATCAAGATGTTTTAATGGCATTTGATTTCTCTGAGCAGTTTGTATTCTGGTGTTACATTTTTTTAACCCAGAAAGCTCGTGAATTTACTTTGAGTGAAAAGAACTGTGCCGTTAACACAGGGAAAAGGGCTGCTGGCATCTTCCTTCAGTTCTGTTACCACAGACGTTTGTCTTGTAGGCTTTTTCTGGAACGGTGACAGAGAAGGAATTGCCGCCCTGCCTCGCCCCGCACCCGGCCGCGGCCCACCCTGTGCTGGCCACCATCCCTGAGCGGAGAGAAGCCCCGTCAGAGGGGTCGGAGGTCACCAAGCGGGTGTCCAAGTTCAAAGCCGCCAGGCTGCTGCAGCGGAGCTAGGCGGCCCACGACCTATCAGCTAACGGCTCTCGGAGACAGTGAGGCGCCCGAGTCAGTGGAAGCGGCTTCTGTCCTGGTGGAGAGGGTCTGAGCGAGCCCAGGACTCCCAGCGGCTTGCTCGTCCTCGGCACCGGCACTGCTGCTGCCCCTGAGGCCGCAGCTCTGGATCGCCTCAGAGAGGATGTCCTGGCTGGTGGTGGTTGAACTACACGCTCAGCTCCGCCCCGCTGCGGTGCGCACACCACGGGGACACGAAACAAACGCAGCGTTCCGGGAGAGCCAGCGCTTCTGTTCCTGCCTCAGCCTGGGAAAGGCCTTCCAGAACCTTCCAGGGGTTCTGCAGCGAGGTGCCCTTTGACCCCGGGACTGCGCTGTCCTCGGCAGATGCTCCCCTGGCCTGTGGGCAGGTTTCTTGGTCAGAAGAATGGGATTTTGTAAAACTTTTTTTTTTTTTTAAAGTAAAAGTTTTATGAAACTTGGTCTCAAAAATGCTGTGGACTTCATGATTCAGAGCCGCGTGTGGAAACGTCTGATTGTGTATGCGCTGCGAGTGCCCCAGCCGCCCTCGTGCCCCTGACCAGGAACCGAACCCCCACCCCGTGGTCCCATTGCCGACACTAACCACTGAGCAAGCCGGGCCCAGGCGGCGGCGAGCCATTTGTCATGTGGGTTTGCTCCCCACCGCGGTTCCGTTTTCATGGTTCATTTGGGGAGACGTGTGGCTCTAGGAGTCACAGCTCCGTGGAAAGATGAGAGAGGCCTCCCTCCGAGGCGCCCCATCCCTGCCATCCGCTCGTGTGTCTGGGCCCCCCCTTCCCCCGGGGCCCCTTTCTCAGCTGCTTGTTCCCCGGGCCCCGCGGGCTCCAAGGGCCTGGCCAGGTGACGTCACAGACTGTCTCTCCCTTCGGGTTTGCCCAGTGCGTCCGTAGGGCTCGCCGGGGTGTGCACCAGGGGGACTGTCCCAGAGCGGGTGCCTCTCGCCGTCTCGCCCGGTGTCCGTCTGGGGGGCTTTTCCGCTGTAGGCGTCTCCCCGCTGGGTTCCTCCTCATTCTGAGGTCCAGAGTGCTGTCGGGGGAGCCAGGCTCAGACCGTGCCCTCTGGCCAGGTGTCCGTCTGCCCTGCGCGTTCTCACCTTGTGCACAGTCTCTGGGCTCAGGGCGGAGGCCAGGCCTGGGCCAGTGACCCGGCCAGCTGGAGCCTGGGGCCCTGCAGGCGCGTGTGCAGCCTGGGGACCCTGTCTCGTGTCTGCCCCCAGCGGGGCCTGGCCTGCCCCTCCCCGCCCCGGGCCTCCCCCGCCCCCTGACCCCCTGGCCATGCTCCCAACCGTGGGAAGCGCCGTCTCTTCTCCCCAGCACTGCCTCATGGTCCTTTTTTTGTTCCGTGCTCTTCCCGGAGCCCAGGCTGGACCCCGCTTCCGAGCTTTGAGGGCTGAGCCTCCCGTTGGCCCGGGGACGCCCCTGACCCGGGGTGACGGTGCCCGCCTGCTCTTCCCACCTCCGTCTCGGAGTGTCTGCAGCTTCAGCAGCCCTCGTGTGTTTCCCTTTCCTTCCGAGTCCTGGGCGGGCAAGTTTAAATGCCCAGACTGCCCGGCCTGCAGGCCTCAGGGGCTGAGTGTCGACCTAGGAACAAGGAGGTCACAGTTTGATTCCCGGTTGGGGCCCAGGCCCAGGTTGTGGGTTCAAAGCCCAGTGTGAGGCGTGCAGGAGGCTGCCAATCCATGTTCTGTCTCATCATGGGTGTTTCTCCCTCCCTCTCCCTCTCTTTCTAAAGTAGGGGTGTCGAACTCAATCAGAGAAGGGGCCAAAATCTAAAATCCAGCCTAAATCGCGGGCCGAATGGTTTACTGAACAGTCATAAACTGTCATTGTGATGGAAACGCAGCGGAGTGCAGTGATGACAGCGTGGTGCGGGCCACATTGCAAGGCCTGGCGGGACGGATTTGGCCCGCGGGCCTTGTGTTTGACACATGTGTTCTAAAGTCAATAACAATATATTTAAAAAATAGAAATAAAAATAAGAACCCGGATGTCCTGGGCTGAGTGTCCGGGGCTGCGGACCAGACCCGCTCCTCCCGGGAAACACCCATCCGCTCGGGGCACCACGCGTCCGGTGGGGACACCACGGCCTCGGTCAGCCGGGCGGACGCCCTGCCCAGCAGCTCGGCCTGGTGTGGGCACCGGGAGCGGCGCCTGCCCAGCCGGTGGCCAAGGCAGCTGTCCCTGCCGTGGCTGGCAGTGGCGGCGGGAGGGGCAGGGCGGCAGCCGGCTGCGGGTCCTTGGACGCGGTGTTTCTGTGTCACAAGCCGCCGCACTCCGGCCCACGTTCCCCCGTGGTGCGTGAGCTTCGCCGGCTCCCGCCGTCTCTCACGCCCGCCCCGGCTCGCCACACCGTCCACCTTCCCGCACAACGCGCCTTCTTCCCGGGCGGGATCCGGCTCGGCCGGCTCGGCCGAGACAAATGGACCGTCTCCGTTAATTACGCCGTTTAATTGATCACAACCTCCGATGGGTGTTATTTATAGCGCCGTGCCGTCCCGGCCCCGCCGGGGGCCCCCGGGCTGGGCGGGGGTGGGGGGCCGGGGCCGTCACGCCAGCGCCCGCCTCTGCTAACCGTATTAAGTGCCTCCTTTTGGGCCCGCTCCTGTCACCGTATGAAATGGCTTTTAATTGAGATGACCGACGGCCATTAGCCGGCTCCACCCCCGCCGTCTCACGGGCACCGAGCACTTTTCATTTTTGCTCTATTGATCGGGCAGCATCTGCGTGAACTGGACTCGGACCCGGAGGAGGAGGAGGAGGAGGAGGAGGAGGAGGAGGAGGAGGCGGCGGGAGGGGCCGTGGGAGGGGGTGGGTGTGGGGGGGTGGGAGGAGGGGGTGCGTTTCTCTGCGGGTGTCTCTGGGAGGCCCACGGCTCCCTGTCACTCCCCGCGGGTGCCAATAGGGGACAGCGGCGAGCGGCGGCGGCGGGCCTGCCAGTCACGGGCGAGCATCATTATTCATTCTGCTATAGGTGGGGTGTGCAGTCCGTTACAGTCATAATTACCAGGACCGGAGGGTTTCCTAGGCAACCGGCTCCCCCCTCATTCACGCGGTAGCTGAGCACGCGCAGCCTGGCACGGCTGGGTCTGGGTGGGCGCCCGCTCCCCGCCGCCCCAGTCCGGGTCAGGCACCGCCCGCAGGGGCGCCTGCAGGCCGCGTGGGGCCTCCGCCCCACCCCCCACCCCACCCCGCCCCACCCCACCCCTCGCCTGCACGGAACCAGGGCTCTGAACACGCAATCCCCGTCCTGCTGGTGACCTGGCTCCATCTCTGGACATGGCAGGATGTCTCATGGTCGATTTCGTTTGGAAGGAGTGGGTCCTTTTTTAATAAACATGTTTTTATGGTTTCAGAGAGGGCGGGAGGAGGGAGCAGTGGAAACATCAGTGATGGAGAGAATCAGTGATCGGCTGCATTTTACATGCCCCCCTCTGGGGTGAGCCCACAACCAGGGCGTGTGCCCTTGACCGGAATCGAACCGAGGACCCTTCCTTCTGCAGGCCCACGCTCTGTCCACCGAGCAAAAACATCTAGGGCATACTTTCATTTAAAAAAAAAAAAATGATGTTCTGTCTTATCATTGATGTTTCTCCCTCTCCCTCTCTGAAATCAATAATATGTATTATTATTATTGTTGTATATTATTGAGTTCAGAGAGGAAGGGAGAAGGAGAGAGAAATATCAATGATGAGAATCACGGACCGGCTGCCTCCTGCACACCCCACACGGAGGATGGGCTCACAACCCGGGCCTGTGCCCTGACCGGGAATCGAACCCTGACCTCCTGGTTCCCAGGTGGACGCTCAGCCCCTGAGCCACACACAGCAGCCAGGTGTTTCATTGAGAAGCTTTCTGATTGACTAGAAATGTGCAGAGACAGGCCCGTGGGATCAGAGTCTGAATCGATGGGGCCCTTTCCAGCTGGCCACGGGCATGTCTGTGTGTCCACAGGAAGGGGGCACGGCCTTCCCGACAGGAGGGTGGCGCTGTGGGGGGCCTGGGGGGCAGGGGCCACGCCTGGCAGGCCCACACTGCGCCGAACTCCCCGTGCTGCGGTGATGGGGTCTCCTGTCTGCCTGGCGGACGTGGTGGTGAGGAGGTTTGTCCGGTGGGCAGTGACCGGGGGCCGCAGACCCAGGTCTCCAGAGACGAGGGCGTCTGGAGCGTGGCATCGGCCCCAAGCTCCTGGGGAGATGGAGGTGTGTATGGCACATGGCGGCAGCAGGAGCTTCCCAGTCTGTGGGCACCACCGGGCGCTCAACTACCTGCTGTCCCTCTGTCCCCAGACGCCCTCCCCGCCCTCATCGGCCGCTTCTGGTGCCCAGCAGGCTGCTGCCCTGCTTCCCTCGGGGGGACCACGGCGTCCCCTGCCCGGCCCTCGGCTCTGCTCGGGGGTTGAGGCGGGGGGCTGGCTCTCCCCATGCGGCCACAGCCCACAACGGGGTCCCTCAGCCCACAGCCCAGCTCCGTCCGCTCCGGACTGTGGGCACCGGGTGTGGCCCCCCGTGAGGCTGGGCAGGCCAGCAGGGGCCCCGAACTCCCCTCTTCCCTCCGAGGGATCCTCAGGCCCAGTTTCTTGAAAACAACTCAGACAATGAACGAAGCATCCCGCCCCCCGCTGGGGGTGGGTGATGAGCGGTTGGATATTGGATATTGGATATTGATGAGCGATTGTATATCACAGACGCCGTAAGCACGGCTGGCCACCCGGATCCATCAGGCAGGCTCCTCCGAAGTTTACCTTTTATTTTATTTATTTTATTTTATTTTATTTTTTAAAATATACTTTATTGATTTTGTACAGAGAGGAAAGGAGAAAGATAGAGAGTTAGAAACATCGATGAGAGTCATCGATCAGCCGCCTCCTGCACACCCCCCACCGGGGATATGCCTGCAACCAACGTACATGCCCTTGGCCGGAATCGAACCCAGGACCCTTCAGTCCCCAAGCCGACGCTCTATCCATTGAGCCAAACCGGTTTCGGCCGAAGTTTACCTTTTAATTATTATTATTTTTAAAATAGATTTTTATTGATTTCGGAGACGAAGGGAGAAGGAGAGCTAGGAACAACAGTGATGAGAGAGAATCACTGATTGGCTGCACACCACCTCCTACTGGGATGGAGCCCGCAACCCAGGCCTGTGCCCTCACTGGGAATTGAACCCGGGACCCTTCAGTCCACAAGCCAACGCTCTGTCCACTGAGCCACACCAGCCAGGGCTACGTTTACTTTAAACAGTTTAATAATCCGGGAGAGAGGACTGTCCCCGTCACAGGCGGCCAGCCCGTCTGTGAAATGACGGTGTGGAAAAGCCGGCCCCTCCTCCGTCACACGCTTGCTCTTCCTTTTCTCTCTTCCTTTTCAAAATAACCCAACTGTCTCAGGAAACACGGTTAACGTCTTAAGGTTAAAGCATTCTTCCTTTCTTTCTCTCTCTCTTTTTT